TGGACAGGTCCTTGCAGATGGACAGATCTCTAGAAGTGGACAGATCTCTGGACATGGACAGGTCCTTGCAGGTGGACAGATCCCTGGACATGGACAGATCCCTGGACGTGGACAACGCCTCGTTCTCCAGCGACAGCCCCCAGGACGATTCCCTGACCGAGCACCTGCAGAGCGCCATCGACAGCATCCTGAACCTGCAGCAGCCCCCGCGCAACCCCCAAAGCTCGGCTTTCCCAGGCCCGGCTCGGCGCCCCGAGCCCTTCCTACCCCCTCCCAGCCACAACGGCGGCCTGGGCGCCGCCCGCACCTGCACCAGATGACCACGGGCACCGGTGCTGACCGCAACCGGCACTGACCGCAACCGGCACTGACCGCGGGCACCGGTGCTGACCGGAACCGCCGCCGCCGGAGCGCCCACGAGCCCGGGAACACAGCGGGAAATGCTCGGGATTGGGATCTGGATTGGGATCGAGCCCGGGAACACAGCGGGAAATGCTGGGATTGGGATCAGGATTGGGATCGAGCCTGGAAACCCAGCAGGAAACGCTCGGGATCGGGATCAGGATTGGGATCGAGCCCGGGAACAGCGGGAAACGCTCGGGATTGGGATTGGGATTGAGCCCAGAACACCCAGCAGGAAACGCTCGGGATCGGGATTGGGATCGAGTCCGGGAACCCAGTGGGAAATGCTCGGGATCGGGATCGGGATCAGCGTCGGCATCGGGGTCGGGATTGGGGTCGGAGCTGCCGGGGATGGGGGAGCAGCGGGAACGCCGGGAGTGACCCTGGGATTGGAGTGACCCCAGGATGGAGGAGAGGAATGGGAAATTTAGGAAATTCAGGAGTGATCCCAGAATTGGAGCATTCCAGGATTGGGGAGAGGAACAGGAAATTGGGAAAATTCAGGAGTGATCCCGGGATTGGAGCGTCCTTGGGATGGAGGAGAGGAACAGAAATCCGAGAGATTCAGGAAATTCGGGAGTGATCCCGGGGCTGGGGAGAGGAATGGGAAATCCGAGAAATTCAGGAGTGACCCCAGAATTGGGGAGAGGAACGAGAAATTCAGGAGTGACCCCGGGACTGGAGACCCCGGATTGGGGAGAGGAACGAGAAACTCGGGAATGTGGGATCAGAGCTTCTGTAGGATTGGGAGAGATAAACAGGAAACGCGGGAATGCGGGAACGGCCCCGGGAGAGGAACAGGAACGGGAAATTCGGGAATTGAGGAAGAGTCCCGGGGGATCCCGGTGGGAACAGGAGACCCCAAATCCATCGGGATCGAGAGGGAAAATCCCAAATGGGCTCCAATCGAGATTGGAATATGAAGAGGAGACTCCAAATCCATCGGGATCGGGATGAGAGACGGAAAACCCCAAAAGGGCTTCAGTCAGAATTGAGATGGGAATGGGAGACCCCAAATCCATCGGGATTGAGAGAGGAGAGAGGAAAACCCCAAATAGGCTCTAATCGGGATTGGAATAGGAATGGATGACCCCAAATCCATCGGGATCGAGGGAAAACCCAAAAGGCTCCAATTGGGATTGAGATAGGAACAGATGACCCCAAATCGATCGGGATTGAGAGGAAACCCCAAATGGGCTCTGCCCGGGATGGGATGGGAACGGGACGAGTTCGGGAAGATCCCAAAACCCCCAGGACCCCCCCGGGTTGGGAACAGGACCCGTCGCCCCTCCCCCCCCACCCCAATTTTCCCCCAAAACGGATTTTTTTGGGATCAAACCCAGGCCAAGGGCGGAATTCCCGCCCCACCCCCCCCAATGGAATTTTCATGGAAAATTCTGGATTTCTGGAGCAGCCTCTCCACCCCCTCCCCAAAATTCCACCCCAAAAATCCCCCAAAAGGGGCAAAATTCCAAATTTATCCCGAATTTTCACTTTTTTTTAACTCATTCCGGAGATTTTTAAGCCTTTCCCCTCAAACCCCGTCCCGGAAATTCCCCAAAAGAAGCAAAATTCAAAATTTTCCCTTTTTTTAACCGATCCCGGAGATTT